CACAAACTGACTCCCTCTCCTATATTCCAAGAACACATTTGAATCATCTTATAAAATTTAAGTATATATTACTCTCAAATATGAGGCAACATTGAGAGTTTTTTAATGTGTTTATTTGTTTTAGGATTTAGAGACAGACAGAAATAAAAATCATGCCAAAAAGACCCAAAACCAAGAATAATAATGACAAAATGTTGCTCCATTTCAGGAATTAATATGCTTTTCCTTTTAAGTCATGAAAACGCCAAGACTTTACTGAATCTCCCTGCCGCTAGGTTGCTGGGATTCAAATATGGACAGCAATCCCTCATCCTTATTGATCCATCTGACATTCCATACCTCCGCTTTTGTTTTTCTGTTTTTTCTTTTAATATGCCAAGTGACTATGCACAAATCAATTAATCAATTCATATTCCCATATGAAGAAGAATATCAATTATTATTCTTTACTGAGTGTTTATTTCTCCCTCAATTGGATTAAAATCTCTCTAAAGAGGATTATATTGTTCTGAATTTTTATCCCTCGTAGGAGATATTGCTGGAAACAAGTGTTATATACTATGATTTACCACACCAAAGTTACAATTATTTTTCTCATCTGATAATACTGGAAGCATTTTTTTAAAAATATATTTTAATGATTTTTTTTTACAGAGAGGAAGGGAGAGGGATAGAGAGTTAGAAACATTGGTGAGAGAGAAACATTGATCCGCTGCCTCCTGCACACCCCCTACTGGGGATGTGCTCACAACCAACATGCCTTTGACTGGAATCGAACCTGGGACCCTTCAGTCCGCCAACGCTCTATCCACTGAGCCAAACCAGTTAGGGCACTAGAAGCATTTTTATTGCATAGACAATACCATTAGAAGAATTAACAAATCTCATTAACCATTTCTAGTAAACTAAAAATAAATTTAGGTGTTCATCAAAACTGATATGCAATAAAGTTAACAAAAGCTTGTTTTAAATGGTTTAGTCATACATGGCATTATATAGTTAGTTTAGTCTTATTCTTCAAATACAAATGGATGGGCTAGCACTTAAAATTATTTTTTCCCATAGATGGATGGTACAGACAGATATTAGAATACTAAATCAAACATTTAATTAGACTCCAAAAATTTGCCAAATTTTCAGAGTTATCAGTAGCACTTCTAAAATCTTTAAAACATTTTTTTCCTAAAATAAATCATAGGCTTGAATTATGAACATATAATTGCCTCTAAAATTTATATATCAAGATAAAAGTACCAGTAAATTTTCATCTGACAAAAATCTTATGTTTACCTAAATTAGACCCCAACAGTGATATAAAACTTTAACTTTTTCTCTAAAAATAACATCAATTTATTCTAACTTAAGAGAAGTGCTTGAAACACATTTTAACATTCAATTAGTTCATGTATTCTTTACATTTTTGAGATTTGCCAATATATCATTTGGATTGTTTCTATTTTCAAAAATTTTTATTGCGCAACATCTCATCCTAAAGTGAAAAAAACTTATTACACATTCTCTCCCAATTCTTATCTATAAGTACACATGCTTTTCCTATTCACAATCCTAACATTTATTATTATTTTTCTCTTTTAAGAACACACAATAAAACCATTTCTCCCTAACTTTCCAAAATGATACTTTTCATTATGTATTAAAATAGTAAAAATAACTATTAATAATTATTCTGAATACGTTTTAAATCACTATGTAACAATGTATAATATGACAAAGGATGAAGAGTTAATACTGGCAAAGAATGTATGTAGTCAAATGTGAAAAAAAAGACTAAATGTTCACTAGAACTGTGAGACTGAATGAGAGAAGGTTACAGAGGGAGCTCTAAGACAAACCTGAGACAGGTTAGCAGGCAGAGCCCTGTAGCCTCTTAACTTTGTTCTCAATCTTATGAACAGTTTTTCTTATCACTACCAACAGCATTTCCCATGCATAAATAGTAATAGTCTATGTTTCCACTCCAAAGGAAAGCCCAAAATGTTTTTGGTTGAGGAACTGATTCCAACCTATTCCCAGCTCCTTCAGAGCAATGATGTCATATGAGCTATTTTTTATTTGTAAGTTATTTCTACTTTGCCAGAAACAAAATATTTTTCTTAACACAACATGCTTTAAACTGGAACCATGGTTGCTGGACAGCTGTCTGAATTTTATGACTAAAGCATTATCACATTTTTGCTTATTGCTAACACAAACAAACAACAACAACAAAAAAAAACCCTGTAAATACATCTCCTCTTGGAAGAAAGATTCAAATCACTACTAATTACATTGCCTGTTTCAGACAGCCTGAGTTTTTCCTGTCAATCATCTGAGAGCAATAGTACCATAATTAGCCAATTTGTACATTGGACCTCAAAACTCATTTCCTTCACACCAAAATATTCAAATCAAAACAGAGCTCAGGATCTTTTCTGATGTGAGATCAATTCTTATTTTTTACTTGATTTCCAGAACTCTCCCAAGTGCAAACTAAAGAGCAACCCTTTTGGGTCCTAGAAATCTTGGCTTACCTTGTTACTGTTAGACACATTGTGAATGACAACAACAAAAACCCTACAGTCTTTATTGTACTCTGCCAGCTGAGCTGTTGATCTGGCTGTGCTATACCACCCATGCAAATTGTGCTGAAATAAATGCTCTCAAAATTTATTTCTCATGAATCAATTCATTTAAATACATTTTTATAAAACCCAACCCATTATTTAGGAAGAAAATGACCAGAATATATCAGTTCTAGAACAAATGTTTCAAGATGCATCTGAAAGTGTTGACTGAGAGTTTTGTATGCTTTCATGTTGAGAGAAAGTCTATAAAGGACAACTGATCCGTAGTGGTGATTATTAGGAGCCAACTGATGTTAAACCCTAAACAAATATTCAACACTGGGAAATAACCCATCATCAACACCAATACCGCTTGCCATTTTACAGACGAAACAAGTGATTAAATTCTTCATGGTTTAGCTGGATAATCTGTTGTCCTTCCACACAATCATTCTAAGTGTGGATTTAAAGATAGTATATGGGCATGGATATAGGATTCATATCCAATCAAAATCAGGTCTTCATCAGTTCTAATATATAAAATGCTGGCAAAATGTACATTAACATAATAACATAGTTAATTTGATGGAATCTTACTTTATGTTTATGTGATATCATAAAAAGGCAACATAAGGTTTGGTCAAAAGATTTGTTAAACATCATCACACACACACACACACACACACACACACACACACACACACTCACACACAGATAAGTGGATGTTCAAGTCCTTAAGAACACTTTTACAACACTTTGGAATGTAACTTCAAATTTTCAATTAGCAAACTGATCACTGCATCAAAATTTAGAAATTGAGAAATTCTGAAAAATATGAGAATAATAATAAAACAACTGAAATATAAATAGCACTATAATTAAAATTAAATGTATTCAAATTATTGAAGATTATCACATTAAAATGTTCCATAAGAAACAAATGACAACATTAAACTATTTAAGAATTATTATGACCATCTCTATAAATCTTCTAATATATAGGGTTTTCACAGGTAGGAAGACATTTAACCCTGTGCACTGAAATTATAAGAACATCTGAAGCAACGCATGATTAGATACTATGGAGGAAGTAATGCATACTGAACAAAGCTACAGAAATAATTTATATTTACATTGATACAATGCATCAATTATATCATCCATGATACTCCAAATTTAAAATAGAAAACTAGAAAAGGATCAAGACTTCAACTTTGCATTGCTAAAATATCTTGTTCCCCAAAACATACAATTGACAAAAATTATTCTCTTTTTATATTTTGAGAGTAGCATAAATACAGGATTATAATTACATAGGAGTTAGAATAATAATAACTAATACCAATGAGGAAAACAATTGGTTTCTCAATGGCTTAAATATATAATATTAATAATTAATATAAAAGACAATATAATTTAAATTCCTTTTTCAAAATATTTTAGAATAAAGAATGAAAAAGGAAGGTGCCTCTTTGTGCCAAATAACATTATAAATTATACCTATTGAAGTGTACAGTATGGAATAAGACTTTGAGAACAATGAAAATTTTAAAAATAAATTCATTTTTGATAAATTGTACCCTTTCAGCAAATACTAAAATACTACAGATAAAGGTGTTTTTTAAATTATATAGTAATTTTACTCCTCAGATTGTGATAATACTAAAATATATTAAATTCATACAAGTAGAATAGCATAGCAAGTTTATGTTTTCTAAGTTGGTTACTTCATAAAACAACATGCTTATTTCAGAATAGTTAATGTTATTTTGCAAATAATATTTCTATACAGATATCTTCAAACCAAGAATGCCCACTTTGATTTTGCTTTATATATGCACAATAATTTAATTGAAAACTTTGTCCTTGATAAACTCAACGCGTGTTTTTCAAATAAAATAATTTAAACAAATACATTTGAACAAAATATTTCAATTATAATAAATTAAAAACAAAACAAACCTAAACCACATTGGCAAATAATTTCGTCACAAAGCCAGTCCATACATATATTCTTAAAGATGACATAAACGTGTTTCTAAGCTCATGGAAAACTTCTGGGAATTTTTTAGCTTTGTAAAAGAGAAAAGGAAAGGAAAGAAAAATTTGCCCAGGGACTAATTCTTCCTCAGAAAGGCCCTGCCATTGTTGCCTTACACAGTTCTACAAAGCCAAACCTATAATGCCAAGAACATTCCTCAACAAGGCAAAGAATTTCATTACCTTTTACTTTTAAATCTTAAAGTCAACCCTACCTGTCTTTCACCTAGTTATTTATGAACATTTATAGACTGTATTGAAAATATTAGAAATTTTGGTTCAAACAAGTCAACAAGCATAGAATAATGAATGAAACAAAGCGAAGCATAACAAAAGCCAAAACAACACTATCACATATTTCATGGATTAATGGTGTAAAAAAAAAAGATTTCTTACCAAGTACCCCAAGTCGGTAGTTGACTGTGATGACGATCACATTGCCATAACTTGCCAAGACACTCCCATCATATAAATTTCCAGTACCTTCCATATATGAGCCACCATGGATATACACCATCACTGGTTTAGGACCCCCACTGTCCCGAATATCTGAAAGAACAAATGTTTGGCAATTGTTCTTATCCTCAAAAAAAACAACAAATATAATAAAGCAGAGAACACATTTTCCATTTTAGGGACAAGAGGTCATGATTTTTATTTAGTTATTTAAATTGCTGTTTTTGTTAAAGTGTTTCTTAAGCAACTCTTATTAACAGCTGTTGCAGAAAAGAGCAATATCCATTTTTTTTCTATCTAAAATTTTGTTTAAAGCTACAAACTGAATTAAAGAACTTGAACAAATGGAAAGTAGGTATGAATTTTAGTGCTGTTTGATGAATTTCTAATGTGACAATAGAACCAAAAAAAAAATAATATAATGAGAACTACTTTTTTTAAAATGAGGTAGACCTCATATGAAATGTATGAACCATAAACTAAGGCCAAAAGTATCACTTCTATTGTGAATAAAACACTGTTTCCATTTTTGAAAACTGTAAATATTTATATTGAATGCATCATAATTACACTGAATAATTTATGCTCCATTTGTGAAGATAATTACAACGCTATATTATACGTTGTAAAAAGTTTCATTTCGCTACTCAAGGAATAACTCAGACGCATGTGTAGGCAGCAAAGGCATGTACATCTGTACTTCTGTTTTTGTTTCATTTAGGGAACTGTCATTTAAATAATATGTTTCAGTTAATCCCAGGTTATCTGCTCATTTCCTCTTTGGAAAAAGGAAACAGATTAAAATATATTTTTCACCTCGTTAACTATTATACTATTCTTATCTCTACTTTGGCTCTATGATTTTGTCAGGCAGACATGAGGAGGATACAGCTTAATCTATGTGTACAGTGCCAATATTTAAGGTGATGAAGTGATTTCTGCATCTCTGAAATTTAATCAAATGTATTTTATTTTCTAAGATACTTTCCCAATTATGTAATTTTCAACAAGGACCCAGAAATAATAAACAGGGTGGGGCAAAAGTAGGTTCACTGTAGCAAATACACAAACCACAGTTTATTCTTGTGTTATTATTATTTATTAACCATTGTAATATTTTCCATACAAACAACTGTAAACCTACTTTTGCCATATCCTACAAAGAAAAACCTAAGAAAATTTAACTAGTATAAAAAATAGACTAATTTTTATAGAAAACATGCCAAATTGTATATTGGCCAACATGATTTTAACTATTGTATAAATTGAAACATTATAAATGTATATATGAATATGAACATATACAGACATAAAATATTATTATTATTACATAATAGCTCATGATCTCTTTTACTCATAACTGAAACAAAATTGTACCAAATGTGCTATTTTTTTAATTTCAATATTAAAAGTGTCATTTAAAAGTATGGTTTTATTCCTTTGTTTTTGACACTGTTTATCAAACTTAAATCTCCTACATATTTATGATTGAGGTTTCAGCTTTCAGAATGGGATATAATACAAGTTCATTGAAAAGCTAGTGATTATTTAGAAGCTGCTTTCCATTTCCTGATAAATATTTAAAATATATATAAAGGCTGATTTGTCTATTGTAAAAATATTTTCATGACAAACCATCCTAGGATCAGGAATTGCAGCTCAACTTGTTTGTTCACAATCTCAAGTGAGGGAACTAGCTCACTGCAGAATTTAGAAACTTTTTAAAAGGACTGTTTTCAATTTGACTGAATACCAGTGTGTAAACTTGCACCAAGGGTGCACTTGAGAAGAATGTCTTATTTTTAAGTGGTGAGAGGAGGATACTTTGACATAAAAACCGTCCACTAAACACAGCTACATTTAGGAAGAAAAACTAATTTACTTTCTTCTTAAGTCCTTGGGAAGGAAATAAATATTCACTCATTTGCAAAGATTTGGGGGCTTATGGAGATGTTAAGTTTACACAGAGAAAATAACCCTTTCGAAAATTTTAAACTATCCTCCTTAAATGCTCAATTGCTGTATATAGTTTTAGCTTATTTTCCTACTATGGCTGGTGCTGAAGAAGCAATAATAAATTATTAAACTGAAATCATTAACTGACTGTTCACAGCAGACACTGTACTCTGCTAATTGTGTGCTTGGAGGTAGCACAGAAGGTGGCTGTTTCAGAATTCTTCTTTAATTAAAATTACATAGACTTACAAAACACCAACTGTGAACAGTAATGAGACCTAGGTAGATCCATTCTGTTCACCTGGAAAACAATACAGGTGTACATTGAAATGCCTGCCACATTTTATACCTAATAACAGGATGGAATGGACATTGCCAAGAAAGACTGAAAATATGACTATATTAGTAAATTCCAGGAGCTATTTTGACTGGCATTTCTCTCTCGCTTCTTAATTAGATTGAAAATATAACTACAAGTTTGGAATGATTCTAAATGTTTTCAAATTTCTCAAAGATTTCAGCCTTGCCTAAGAACATATTGAACAATTCTTTTTCAGAAAGTTCAATAACATTTGAATGCAGTGTTCTGAACTGAATTTCTTTTTGCTTAAAGTAACCCTGAAATTAATTCTGTATTGGGTATTAATTTCCAAAGTAGGTAAAATTCGTGTGCATAAAAAACCCTTAATATTGCATATAAATTTGGGGGAAATGCTGACAATTAGAATTCTTTGATAGTATTTAATCAGAGTGGTCTATCTTAGATTTGCATAAATAGCATTTTATCACAGAGGTCTATCTTAGATTTTACTTTTCCCTATAGTTTACATGTGTTTTTTATTGTAATAATAAATATAAATAGTTTAAATGATATCTATATTTAATTTTGAAAAAAACAGAATCTTTATAAATGAAACTGATCTATCAGATAGCCTACTACTGAGTATTATCTGCTAAAGCCATCATTTTATTTATTTATTTTAAAAATAAATTTTTATTGATTTCAGAGAGAAAGGGAGAGGGAGAGATAGGACCATCAATGATGAGAGAGAATCATTGATTGGCTGACTCCTGCACACCCCACACTGGGGATTGAGCCCACAACTCAGGCATGTGCCCTGACAGGGAATCTAATTGTGACCTCCTGGTTCATAGATCGATGCTCAACCACTGAACCATGCTGGCCAGGCAATTCCATCATTTTAATGATAGAATTTTGAGAGGCCACTATGTCATAGCAAATATACTAGATATACTTTAGTTAGTTATACTTTATTAAAGTCAATTTGTCCTTCCAAACCTTGTTTCATATATTTCCCTAGAAATAAGGTAGATTTCACCTAAGATTTCTAACTGTGCCTAAAAAGCTGCTACTGACTTTACTAAAATCAAATGAGCACACTTAGGCATGAAAACACTAGCTCAGGTTCACTAAAGCTACAAATGTTCTTAAAGCATGTTCATATTTAATGTTTAATTTTTTACAGCTTTTCTAGGCATCTAGGTCCCTGCAAATAGTTGGATATTAAGAGGAAAATACTACACTGATCATTATTTTGGAATTACAGTAACACTTTGGCTATAAATTTTAGTATTTTATCTTTCTGATGAATCAAAACTTTAAGACATTTTAATAAGTTATCGATAGATATAGAAGACAATGGGGATATATTTGTGCCTGATAACCAGTGTTTGGAATCACAATTCCTTTTAATGATCCTGGTGAATAATTATTAGTCACACAACTTCTTCACTATGCTTACTGGTTGCCTTCTGCTTAATGAACTCATGAAGTTTTTAATTGCCCATGTTTTAGAATTGTTGGCATTTATCAGTTTTAAATATTGGGGTATCGCCTCAATTAAATCTTTCTCTGGCCCTGGCCAGTGCTGCTGAGTGGTTAGAGCATCAGCCTGAGCACCAAAGGGTCGTGGGTTTGAGTCTCAGTCAAGGGCACGTACCTGGGTTGCAGGTTTGATCCCTGGCAACCAATTGATGTCTCTCTCTCTCTCTCACATTGATGTTTTTCTCTCTCTCCCTCCCTCTCTCTCTCTCTCAAAAAAATAATCTTTCTCTAATGTATTTAAAGATATTTCAAGATATTTTTCTGTCCCCTACTTATTTTGTGTACCTCAGTTATCACTTAGAACTAGCAAAATAATATAGAAATGTTGGAAGAATGTGTGCTTGTATAATTGTACTTAATCAAAGATATAACTTTTCAGTTAAAAATACTGAAAAAATGACAATAGCACTTTTTAAAAAGCTCTATGTAGGATACAAAAGTGTCTTTGAATATTAAAATATTAAGGTTTTAGCACAATTTAAAAAGGTTATTAAATTCCAAAAATAAATTGATAGAAATATAGTGTTGCTTTGACCCATTTTTATCATTTCAGATTTGTCTTTTTGAAACCATGGAAATAGTCTACAAAATATGCAGTGCTCTTGGTTATTATAAAACACAAATGGAAAATGACACAATTGTTTGGCCTAGCAATGGCAAAATAATAATGGCAAATATGCAAAGGAGAATTAGAAGTAAAGAATAGTGCTCCACTGTGGCCTTGGGTTACTTTAAATGAAGGAGGGCCAGTCCCACTCAGTGTCACAGAGAGCCTCTGAATGCAGGGGCTGAGATAGGGGCCTGGAAATCAGGTAAAGGAGTCAAGTTGTCACGAAATAATTGAGAATGCCATATAAGTGACCAGGTAAATGGACGTCTCACTAAAGTAAAAGAAGTAGTTTATCAAACAATTTATATTTATTGCTTTATGTCCAGTGATGTTAATGCAATATTTAGAACAAAATAAAGGTAAAAATTGGCCTTGGTTTTCGTTAACACTCACGGCTACAAAATCATTATAAAAGAAACTAAACAGAAGATGCTCATATTTTCAACAAAGGCCTGTACCCTAGAGGACATTACAATTTGTTTCCTTGTCTTCTAAACAATTATCCAAAACAACAACCCAGAAGAATAGACCGAACATGAATTGACTGCTTCCACATTCTACACTTCTGAGCATTTAAAATATTTATTGATTTGATAACTCTTGTGACTGTCTGGTTTGGTGCTCAACATGAATACTGCCAGCCAACTTAAAGGGGGCTTAAGATATTTTTAACGACTATTT